TTATTAATGATATTTTAAATTATAGAATCTAAACAAATTGAATTAAATATGTCAGATTCTAAACAAATTGAAATAAATATACCAGATAATTTATGAAAAAATTTTATTTATCTGATTATTGAAATTTTCACATTAGTTTTTTTATTATTATCAAAAAATTTTTTTTAATAATTATATGCTATCTATCTATTTTAAATTAAAGCAGACGTTCCTTGTAATTTAACCTGATTGTATCCGTTGATTATCTGGGTGTTTAAGTACTTGGTCAATCAATAAAGTTCAACACCTGGATAATCAGTCAGTCAATAAAATTCAACATCTAGTGAAAATTTTCAACACCTAATTAACTGGATGATTGGTGAATATCATTTGGCAGATACAACCTATCACCATGTCACTTATCATCATTTAGTATTATTTATTCATTATTTTTTTAGTATTTTTATATTCATACTGTTTTAACATTTCATCATCTATAAACACTATAAATAATAATAATAATAAAAATGATCAACCATTGTGAGATAAAAATCTACGTCTCACAGTAAATCAATATTTTATTTATAATAATATGCCAACAATGCTAATACAATTTCTTCCAATTTATTTATACTAAATCATAACAACAATTCCTGTGAATACATATTTATGCTTTATCTCAAAACTATCTTTCACTATCATTAAACAATTCCTTACACTAAGAAATACTAAATAAAATTTTTTAGATATCCTGATTGTGGTTTTTGGTAGGTGCCTTCTAGCTGTCTTCCTCTTTACTACAAAGTCAGGCACATATCTAAAAACTACTAAATAAAATTCATCAATATTACCTTACTAAAACTCACTAAAAGAAAAGAAAAGGAATAAAAAATAATAAACAAATATAAACAAATATAAAATTTATTATGCTTGGGATTAGCATGAATTCATTGTTAGAGATAGATTTATTATCATTACTAAAATAAATTCGAAGACTATGACAAGGACAAGGACAAGGACAAGGTTAAGGACAGTGTTATTTATTAAATTATTATGATGATGATAAAGATGATGATCCATGAAGTTGAGAAAATTACAATGTTAAAGGTTCTATCATCCAATTCTCTGATTTCTTTGAAACCCTAATTTATCCTAATTAAATGTATTTGTAGGATTATTTTCAAGTTATTTCTAAAGTGATCAATCATTTAAATTCCTTCATTTAAATTTAATTGAGAAATAAAGGTCTGTTACATTTTAGAGCTTTAGAATATTTACTTCTCCGTTGTTTAAGATATTTTCCATGGGCTAATTATTTTATTGTGATTAAATAACAAAGATATTGCAGGGAGCAGTGTGCCATCTCCCAGAAAAGGTCATTGATATCACCAAGCTTACTTTGTTAAAAAATTATATTATATACATTTTACATTAAAGTTTTCAATCCATCATGATTAACCTTTTCCAATCTTTTGTATTCAATCAAAGCACTTTTGAGAAAAACCAAATCTCAGAATGTTCAAGTTTTCCAAGAAGCTTGCACTACTCAAGCTTAGCCTTCAGCAAATATGTTCTCATCAATAGAGATGGTTATATGAGGTAAGGTCAAACCCTCTGTTTTATGAACAGTCAATGAGAAGGCATTTTGGAGCAGGAATTGTATAAACTATTAATTAATTAAGGAAGGTATTTTCATCACTCATTATTGTACAACAAATGTATAATTGACATTTTGTCTTGTCTTGATGATAGTTGAGTTCCTTTTCCTTATTGTTATCCAGCATTAGATAACATGATCAAAGGAAACAATGAAAAATTCCATCATATAAACTTTAATTAATTAAAAAATGTATTTTCATCACTGTTTAATATAATAAATAGGATAACATTTGTCTTGCATAATCTCAATGCTATTCAGGTTACCTAACATTACATTAATAATAATAAGGAAAAGTAACACAATCAAAGAAAATAAAGAAAATTCATCACATAAATTATTAAATAATAAGTATTCTCATCACACATTATTTGTTATAACATGTGTAAAACAACATTATTTGTAAATATACATTGATATAAAATCAAATTTGTGTCAATTTGAAATTTACCAATTAAATTTTGGGTGTTTGAATACAAATTTCTGATTGGCTAATTTGAATTTCACGCGTGTGAATTTCAAATTGACACAGATTCCAAATTCACGCACAACATATGCACCTAAACACAAAAAAAAAATATCTTGTTAAGTTTCCATTTCATCACTTGTTTTTGCTCATTTCCAATGATTTCTTCAACTTTTTCAAAAGACTTTGATTCAACAAACATGTCCTCAAGTTTTTTCAGTGCTGCTTAATTCTTGTCAACATTTTTTCCTTATTTTTTATTGTTTGATGGTGATGGTGATGATATGACAAGATGATAATTCTATAACTAGATATGTAAATTCCAGCTCCAGGGCTTCCAAATGCAAAAAATCATTCCCACCTGGTACCAATTTGCCAACCATTGAAATTTTAGGTTATCCTTGATTTATTGGAATCTAGTAAGTAAATCATTTATATAAATAAATACATTCAAGTGTCTAATAGTTTACATGCCAGTTTAATTGTAAAATAAATTTTTTTACCTAGAATTGATATGATATGATGCCAAAATACTTGTTCCAAAGATTTTTTGTTTTAGTGACTCTGTTGTAAATCTTTTTTAGTAAAACAACTCTCATATCCCAATTTATTATCTTTTTATGGATGTTGTTAATGTATGTGCCAGTGCATATGAATAGAAGGAGGATTTGCAGCAGTTGCTTGTGGCCACCATTACCACCATCATCGTTATCATTAACATGACCACCATCACTATTACAAACATTGTTAATGTAGTTGCTGCTGCTATTATTGTTATCGTCATTGTATCATCATTATTGTAATCATAATTATTATCATTGTCATTATTTGTTATCATTATCAATGGTATCATCATCATTATTATCATTATTATTAACAAAAGAAATCTTGGTCAATTGAATTAATGTGAGTAGGAAAAAAGCAAATGAGAAATTTAATATAGTAAAAATTCAAGCAGTTTTGGTTGTTAATATTAGTATCAATGATACATACATATTTACAACCATCTTCTAATGCAAATCGCCCTGCAGTTTATATGATATTGCCAATTGAAACCTTTTCCTTGGTCACCACCATTGCTCCTCCACAAAATTTCTTGAAAATTAATTCTTCATATTCATCAACTTCAGTCCTGAATATTACAGTTCCTTTTAAAAGGCCATTTATTTCAACTAACAATGCAAATTAAATCAGTTAAACTAATAAATATTAAATTATCAGATAAATTTTTAATTATTAAATTTTTGATTGAATTTTTTTGTTGAAATTAAAATTTGTTAAATTCATTTATTTATTACAACAAATATATATACAATAGTAAAATCTTATTAGTAATAGAATAGCTGGGACGAATGAAAAAAAATGTCGATTGAGGAAAGAGCATTATATATTGAAGAAAGTGAATTAAGAGATAAATTGGATAGTTTAGAAAAAGAACTTTCATGTAATAATAAGCACCAGTAATAGGTAAAAAATGAGAATCTAAATATATCTAGTCATTTGCTTGATATCTGATTATTTATTAAATGAATGATATTGGAAAAATCTATATGTAAATCAAAATATACAGATCAATATAATCGGATATTTGAATATTTTTAAATGATTCAATTTTCAATTCAATTAATTCACTTAAAATGGTAGAAGAGGTTGGGAAAAAACTTGCTACTGCTTGTATTTTGAAGAAAAGAAAATGGAGGTTCTAAGAAGTTAAGTTGGATATTGGATTTGAAGAAGTTACAAAAGATAGTGGAGAAAAACGCAAGTGAGCTTTTTGTCAAATTAACTGGAAATTTTGATAAAAAATTTTGGAATCTTTTTACATTTTAAAATTTATCCTTAATTTTACTACCATTACATAAAAAAGTGATAAATTTTGCCAGGCAAAATTTTAGCATATGTTTTCATATTAATGCGCAAACTGATCCGTCATCTGACTGTGCAACAATATATATTCGATTTTATTCTATTTTATATGCTGCCAAAGTAATTCGGAAGTTAGCTATAAGAAGACTTCTTTGCATTTAGTAGATCATACGTTCACTTTGAAAATAATAAATTTAAATTAAATCATTTAACAACATTACTAAGAGAAGACCTAATATTTCTGGTTAGTAATTTGAATAAATTAAATGCCTATTTAAACAGTTCTAAGTGATGTAAAGGATTACTGGTCCAAAGGAGGTACAAGTAATAGTATGACGTGCTATTAGTTAATGGTGAGCGCATGAAAAAATTTAATATTCATACATTATTTATTATTCATTGATAAGAAGTGGTAAATTCATTGATTTCAACGTATTATTTTATAGATTGAAATAGGATATTTATGCTGTCTCAAACCATAGGCGTGCCTTATTACATTGTAATTATATCAAGAGTTTTCACGCTAATGTTTTTGCTGAATTATTTATTACCAATTACAAAAATAAAAAAAATATTGCTAAAACTTATTTATGAATTTTTTATTAATTCCGCTATGTTAATAAATAAATTTAATTGATTGAGCGAACAAATGAATATTCTACGCTAATTTTTTATAATCCAAAAGGTTTCTTTGCTCAAAATACCATTCTTAATCTCTTCTGTACAATAATCCACGACACCAGTTGATTTGGAAATGCAGTTTTTTTTGAAGAAATCACGATTTTCTTTCTTGAAATACAGACAGGATGCGAGAGATAGATTGGATATAGCTTAAAACACGTATTTCCAAAGATTTGCAGTTTCAATTTAATGACATTAAGGTCACAAGTCAAGTTTCACATCATCAAAAGAGAGATAAAGGCAGTCTTTAACATTCCAGACTTTATTTCATCAAAAGCTAATTATAAGAGACAGTTTCTTGATTTGAGATTATTCATTAGTAAAAGTCGGGTAACTTTTTACTATTACTATTACTATTACTATTACTATTACTATTACTATTACTATTACTATTACTATTACTATTACTATTACTATTGTTATTATTATTATCCGTCATTATTTTTGTTTTTTTTTTTAACTTGAACAAAAAATATTTTAGTTTTATTTTTAAAGAAAAAGAAATACGTCATATCATCATTTATTTATTGTAAAAAAAAAAAAAATAAATAAAAATTAGATAAGGAAAATTTATTGTCAAACTAACGTTATTTATTTAAAAAGAACCAAATCGAGTCAATCACGCATAAATCACGCATTCTAACAATTTTATTATTATTACTTTATTATACTTTATTATTTTATTTTCTATCTATAAAAGGTGAATTTCGACTAAGACAAATTTGATAATTACTATTAGAATACATTTAATTATTCTATTTTATGCACTATAACATTCATTATATTATTATTATTATTATATTATTATAGTAAATATAAATTTTAATTATAGTAAAGTTTCGCCTGTTTAAAATAAAAAAAAAAAATTTGTTTAATTAATTAATTAAAAATAATAAATAAATCATTAGCGAATGCAGAAAAAATTTACCTAAACTACATCTGATCAACGAACATCCTACAGTTACAGTTTCGAATATACTAGCTTCATCTGCAAGCGTTGGGTTTACCTCCTAATAATTGTAACAATTATTTAATATTATTACAACAATAAGAATAATTATGATTGTAATGCAATTAATTAATTATATCATATATAGGCAATAAAAATAAAATAATAAATTTGGAAAAAAAGTGCTTTACCATTAAATCTACGGCAACCAAAAGTCCCGTTTCATGAATTGCTTCGCATATGTAATGACCTTCTCTAAAGGTCAAACCGCCACGAACAGGTGTACCTTTATCGGAAATTAGAATAATCAAAAGGAAATTTTAATTTAAATGAATATAATTAAATACATTGACATAAAATCAGATTATTTGTTACCTGTACTAGGCGCAACAGTTGGATCTAGTGCATCGACGTCAAAACTAAGATGAATTGGACGATTTCTATCCGGATTTACTGTGTCCAATGCCATTTCCATTACTTTACCAATTCCATATTTATCGATTTCGTGCATCGAAAAGGCTTTGATACCGTGTTGCTTTAAAATCTTTTTTTCTGGTTGATCAATATCTCGAAGTCCAATATAAACTAATCTGTCTGGTGTAAGTCTTGGCTTAATCCACTCAAAACCCTCCATTTTCCCTGCTATCCCTAATAGAAAAGATACTGGGCATCCATGTAAATTCCCTGAATCGGTAGATTCGGGTGTATTTATATCCTAATAAGTTAAATAATAAAAAAACAAATAAACAAACAACAAATAAAAAAAACAAATAAATAAACAACAAATAAAAAAATAATCATAAAAATCAAAGATAAAAAATTATTATATAATTACAGCGTGTGCATCAATCCAAATCAGACATGCATCATGATGAACCGCTAAAGTACCGGATACAGTGCCAAGTGCGAGACTATGATCACCACCTAATGTTAATACCATTTGACCTTTTCTATGATGCCTTTCAACAGACCTAGAGACTGCTTCTGTAACTCGTGAAACATAACGAGGTCGTTTCAATTTCCCTATATTTGGATCATCTTTCGGTTTAAGATCAGTGAGTTTAAGATGACCATCAAATTCCACGTCCCAATCCATCTCTTGAAGTTGTTCTATCAATCCATATTCAATGATTTTCAATGGACCCTCGTCAACACCATCTTTAGGCTTAATTAATCAATCAATAATTGAATGAGCGAGCGTGTACGAATTAAAAAAAAAAAGACAAAAAGATATAACTAAACGTGAATGATGCTAACCTGGCCACCGCTGAATGGACAACCAATTACTCCTACACTCTTACCTCTAAGAAATTTGTATGATACTTCTTCCATTTTTTATTATTTTAATAATTCCGATTAAATTTTAATTATTTCAAGAATAAATTTTAATAATTAGTAATTTAAATAATTTTGATGATTATAATAATTTTAAAAAAAAAATGAAAAAATTATTTTATTATATATATAATAATTTGGATAGGTACAACATCATGTGGCGTAACACAACTTTCATCAAAAAAATCGTGGGAGATTTAATATTGACAAAACAAGACAAGGACGAAAAATTTGAATTGTAGAATTATTAATTGTGGATGTATAAAATGTATAAACATTATTATCATCGGGTTTTGCTTTTCTTTTAGTTGTGTAAATTAATTTTTAATTTATATTATCTTTAAAACAATTTGAAATTGAACTTAATTTTTTGGGGCACAGGTCTAGTAGATTTTATTGATAGTGCAAGAAAATGTATTTTCAAAAAAATTTTTTTTCTGCAATGAATAATGATTGGATAATTTTTATGTAATACTTGCTTCTTGTTCTGATTTGCCCGATAATAAAGTTTTTAATTATTAAAAAAATAACAATAACTAATAGAAAAGAGGCACTTCTCCCACATTTAGAATCGATCCCGTCCCGCAATTAATTAAAATTATGAAGTTTAATTAATAATCGATTGTTTGATTGATAAAATGAAAGATTTACGTGAAAAAAAAATTTCCATATGAATTATCAAAACATTGTTATGATACCACGTGATATTCAGCTTGGATCGTTGCATCATTGGTTGATCTCACCCTAATACTAATACTAACAAATCTGTTTCACGGAAAAATTTCTTTTTGGAAATTATGTTATTAGGTTTATTTTTAAATTGATGTTCAGCTCTATAATTATGTAATTTCTATCAGAACCTTTTATTCTATTAGTGATGCATGATTTCTAAATTTGGGAATAAATATTCGTGTTACCTTCTGATTATAGCCATAAAGTTACCAATTTAGGTAGTAAACGGCTTAGCGGCTAAGGATTTTTAAACGGCCAACATTACTGCTTTTATCCCAGAATTTCTATGATCTTAATTCAGCCCAAATTCTTTAAATTTAACCAAAATAAATTTTAAACAATAGATTCGATCTTCTCTTGATTGTCTAAAATAAGGTAGCCTACACATTTGGAATTTTGACACTTCTCTTTGGAATCAACGAATTTTATTTTTACAACTTCTTTTTTTATCAGAAAAGAGGGCTATTATAAAAAAAAAAATCTTCCCATTCCTTTTCATTCATATATATTATATTACTAATGTATTGTATGATTTAAAAATTTTTTTTTTTTAAAAAAACCTTTAAAATCAACCTTTGCACACTTTTTTTAATTCCAAGAAAAAAATTTTTTTTTAGAATAAAAAAAATAAAAAATAAAACTTTAAAAATCAAATGAAAAATAAGCGAAACTATTTATTTGATCAACCAACCTGTGTGGTAAAAAACATTCTTTTAGATCCATCACTTTCCATTATAGATCGATGTAATATTTCTCAAACATGTAGAACTTTACACAATTTCACTTCAACTTTGTATTCAGCATTTGACTTTCCACTTTCTCCAAATAAAATAACTTCTTTAGCTCAAAAAAGACAATCTATAGTAACTGCGGATAATTTTCAAAGCGTTCCTACAATTTTGGTTCGTTCTGGAGTTTACAATATTGCAATTGGGTTTAGTAATGGTGATGATTATTCCGCCATATTTTTTAATAAAAAATGTATTGTCAGAGTTGTCAAGGTTAAACATCCTAAATCATCATCCTCAAAAAGTACTGTACAAATAGAATGCCTATATTCCATTTTGGTTCAACGAATCCTGTTTACTTGTTTTAGATTTAAAGACAGAATATTACAAATCGAATCTCCTAAAGGCAAAGATTACTTTGCTCATACATCAACTTTAAATGATATATTGGAAAAGTATGGATTGATCGCAATTCGTAGAAATTATGGTATCGCTTCAACAAAAAATGATGATATCAAAGACAATGATAACATTAATATTAAACATAATAATTTAATTAATAATAACATCAACAATAACATTATGAATAACAACAACACCACCATCAACATTAATATTAACAATAATGATTATAACGATTATTATACTGCTGAGTCAATATGGAATAGTTCAAAGACTAGGCGCGAACTTATTTCAAAAGGTGTTGTTAGTATGATTCGAAGGTTTCGTCAAAGAGATCAAGCCAGCACAAAGGAACCACAAAAGATTTCAAGTTCTGGAAATCAAAGATGGTTTATCAAGGTATTGACGCAATTTCATTATAGGTATTTGATTTGCCAACAAAAACTTTATGTCTATGGCACTTCACTAAAAAATAGACATCAGGAAATTATAAATTTTTTAGATATTGAATTTAAAAATTCTCTAAAAAAAACTTATCAATCTTATTGGTCTATTATTAATAAAAAAAAATCCCCTCAATGTTTAGCGACTAAATTATCTAATAGTCTTGGATCATCCTCAAATTGCAGTATTAATAATGATGATGGCTATGATGGAAATTTTGAAAAGTTTATAACAATGACAGAGATGGAACAACAATTAGCACAATTAAATGAGCGACACTTGTTTCTTGGTACTCTTATGGAAAGGTTTAAATCAGTCATTTTAGAAAATCAAAGTTTAGACTCATGTTTTATGGTGTTTAGAAATTATAATCTACAGACTTTATATGAAAGTTTACGTACAAACTTGACAAAAGTTTTACATAAATATGATAAAGTTGTTGTAGTGATAGATGAATTATCAACAAAATTTCAAAATCTTCTTAAACAATTATATGAACAAGATATGCGTAATAAATATGCTATTCTAAACAAAGAATTGTCCAGTCAGGGTATATCTGTTCAACTTGATGATAAGATAATTCCTGATTCTTTTAAAACAACATTTTCATCGTCATCGTCATCGTCATCACCACCACCACCATCATTATCATCGAATTCCAATAGCGTCTCATCACCTCCTTCATCATCACTATCATGTCTTGCTCCACTCCCTGCTTCTTATTTATCTTCTACCACTAAACAAGTTTCATATAAGGTTAATTGTTCATTAGTGCCTTTATTATCTACATATAATAATATTACCACTTCATTATCAGCATTATCAGTGTCACCAGCGTCATCATCATCATCATCACCATCACCACCAACCGTATTGTATTCTAATTCATCAAAAATCAAAGATTCAAATATTTCTACTACAACTCTTTCATCTTTAACAAATAAATTATCATCATCATCATCATCAACATCATCATCATTGTATTTATCATCACCATCACCAGCTGCATTGACATCTCAACAACATCATTATCATCACCATCATCAAGACTACTATGATATAAGTGCAGAAGGAATATTGGAAGCTTTGCTTGTACAAGTTCCATACGAAAATATATTTTCACGTAAAATGACTATTAAAAACATGGCACAAAGACATTTTGAAACAATGTGCTCAGAGTATGGAGATCACACTGCCAGAATTGATTATGATGATTATTGTTCAAGTTCTAATGAAGATTTATCAGAAGATAATTACACCAACAACCGTGGTAATGGAAATGGATCATATAATTGTTATAATAATAAAAGTTATTTTTATGACATTAAAACTGGCCAACACGTTAGTCAAGATTATGCAAAACAATTTTTCATAGATTGGTTTGAACAAAATTGTGTGAAATTTTGTAATAGGTTGTTGGAGGCGGGTGATTGGTTGAATGCCATATGCTATATGTTGTTTATGGCAAAATTACTGTTGAAAGATGAATGTCATTGGGTGGAACAGTATGATGAATCGGAAGGTGTTTTCACCAACACCATTACGGAGTGGCGATTTGAGATTGTCGAGAGGATTGAGAATGAGTTGAAAAAGTTGACCAAGGATGTTGTTGGTCCTTCGTTGAAGAAGGGTGAGTGTATAAATGGGGATGATATGAATAGAATTTGGAAAACTTGGTGGTTGTATGCTTGTTCAGAGGTTTTGGATGGGTTGGAAACAATTGATGTAAAAAGCAGTCTAGAAAAAATGGAAGAATATCTTGGCATCAATAATAACAATGGGAACTATAATAATAGCGACGAGAATAATAATGATAATGGGTGTAATAATAATGAGAATAATTGTAGTAATAATAATGGCATCAAACAAAATTTAAAAGAAAAAGGAAAAGAAAAAGAAACAATTATGTAGTTTATATTTAGAAATTTATAAAAAATAGAAACACATTTATTTAATTATTATTTTTTGTGAAAATAGAACAATTTAAAACAATTTAAAACAATTTAAAATTATTTAGAAAAAATTTAATATTTTTCATCTCTCTAATATTTTCTGTTACATTCATTCATTAACACTGATTGATAATTACTAATTACCACTAGCTGCAATAGCTGTGAAATCTTTATCATCTTTAATATAACGGCTTCAAAAATTTTTTTTGATTAATAATATATTAATATATAATGTAAATAATAATAATCATTGTCGAAAAAAAAAAAAAAAACCAAAAATAAAAGTAATTAATATAATTTTTTATAATATACGAGCAACAAAATGAACGATAATAATCGTTTCACTTTCTTCAATGCTCAATCCAAAAATATAAATTTGGCAAGGATTAATGTCGGGCTTGTTTTCATTATTACAGTTGATAAACCCAATCTCGTTTCAGATTTGCGCTTTTCGACCCTCTCCAGATTTTTAAGTAGTTCCTCCAAGATTTCTTAGCTCACTAAATTGTCTGGTGATAATCCCTAAAAATTTGATGGCTATTACCAGAATTTAGCAATGTGCCATATTTTTTTACTTTGTCATAGAAAGTTTTAGCTGATTCATTGCCTTGGTCGAGATTACCAAATTTACTTTATGCTTTTCTTTCTAGCACTGTAGAATAGTAAGTGGGTTTTAAGGTGGTAAATAGCTTGAACAACTTGAATTCTATTTAACACTACAGGAAACTAGCAGCATTATTACCAGCTAACCTAAGTCGTGTTCTCCATCAGAATTGGTCCAATCTTCCGCAACAGTTTCACATGGGAGCATTTTAGCATCTACATCCGCTGCTGTAGTAGCATTATGGGTGCCAACATTTGCATTGACGTATGCTAAAGAATGTGGCTTAAAACTGTCAATGATAATAATCTACGCCATGGTTTGGGATTGAAGAAGTGCTACAGTGTTTGTACCATGATTGTCATATATATTAGTTAATGCCCAATTTTTTCCAAGAAGTTTTTTATCGTACCAATCACCAGAAAATTCATTCAAACAACTTCGGAACATACCTATCGCCCAATTTCTTGTTCCTGCTCCTACTGGATTAATGCTAACTCTATCTAGAAATCCTTGAAAGAACTGATAAAAGTATTAATATCTTCATCGACCTCCTCCGCGAGAAAAAAGATGGTGTACTGTAATTCCGGCCATCTTATGATAAATATTTTTTTAGATTCTCAACAGATTGAATTATAAAATTTTGTAATTGTTTGTTTATATATAAGTGATTTTTATGGTTTCCTTCCAAACCCCTCCAGAAATCAATCGGCAGAGTTTCTGCAGTTACTAAGAGGTTTCCGCAAGCAACCTCTTTATTTATTTATTATTATAAAGATTTCTTTAGCAAAAGAAATTGTTTTAAATTATATTGATAATGTAAGTGTGTGAGTATTTGAATACACTAAATTCTTAAACCTATATATTTTGCGAGTTTTTTTTCAAATGTTTTTGGTAGTGAACTGAAAAAAACGAATGGTTTAAAACAAATATATAGATCATGGTCAATAAAACTCATTATTTAATACGGTTAGTGTGGTTTTGATTCTGATTGCTGCGCCACGCGTCTAAGTTTTCAAAAATGACGGATTTCAAAAATCTTGTAATTTGTTCAAGAAATTTTAAGGGTATTCCCAAAAATTGTACTTTACGTGATTTTTGTGTAATTAAATGCAATAATAATAATGATAGTCATAATAATTATTCAATTGGAACAAGTTGGGCAGTGATGATTTTTGTATATAAAGTTTTTTACTAAGGTTTAGTTTTAATTCAAGAGAAAAGTTTTGAAGCTTGAGTCATTAATATTAATATTAATATAGTAAAGGGATTCCAAGTTATAATCGATTAATTGCTTAGCTTCAAAATACTAAAACAAAAAAATTTTTACATTGTTTTTAAAAAATGTTTAATTGATAAGTTTTATTTATTGTTCATGACTCAAGCTTCAAAAACGTATAACTAGATTTTCTTAAACTCGAACTTCTTTAAAAAATTACCAAAGTTGGTCGTATAGTTAAAAATACGGTAACACAAAAATTATTATTGCAATTACTGAATTAAAAATTAAAAAAAGTTATATGAAAATGAATTGACTTCTCTGAATTGACTTCGGAATTCGACTGCGCCTTAAAATAAAGCTAGTCTGATTTTAGAAAATATCCGCAGTTAATTTTCAGGTTTGGTTAGCGCGCACTGATTCCGCACTGTTGACCGTTCTACTGCGCAACAAAACATTTCCTTTTTTTTATAACCACATGACTTTGTGTGCAAGCTATTTTTTCTGCTGATCATTTCGGGTAATTGTAAGCTTAATATTAAACAAATAATCAAATTTGAACGGCCTTATTGTTGATTAAATTGGTATTTAATTATCGTTACGCAGTCATGATTTGTTCTTATGACCAAGTAATAAATATTTACTAATGGATATTTTTTGCCATCTTCTACAAAGAATGTCCTTTGATAAACACAATACTTGGCAGAAGTGATACAAATTGTACTTTATAAAGATAATCGTTATCTTCTACTTAATTTTGTATTTCACTTTTCGTGAGACTTCAAGAACTATATGACTTTCTTTTAAATAATAATTTTCTTGTAATAAGCTATTGTAAAACCATCGGTTAATTCTTTGCTGATTTCGGGACTGTGTTATAATTATTTCGCCGAAATCCGCCATTGCAACGACAAATATTTGTGGCTAAAAAAAAATAAAGGTTTCTTTTATAAAAAAATTATTTTTCACAAATTATGCAAATTATAAAAAATAATAAAGAATTACAATAAAATTTTAAAGATGGAAAACGCTCATAATGATGATAAATATTCAAAGAAAAGATATAATACCAATCTAATATGGCGTAATCCAAAGCTACCAATTGATGGTAGCATTGCAACTATCTACAGAGCTTAAGCTTCCAGACGAACAATGACATTCGAATCGAATACAAATACATATCAATTAATCAAATGTAAAATTTATGCTTATACTATTTATTAAAACCGTTCTAAATTATATTATCAATTAATTATCAAATGTCTAAGGTTTTTAAATAATGATTTTTTTCAATTATAATACTTATGCATTTGGAAGAGACTTCAATCTTTCTTTATACACAATTAATGTTTATAACACGTGGATTCGTTATAATGCGCTTTTTTACAAGCAGCATAGGCCTATTTATGTTTATCATATCACTAAGCAATAGTTGTAGTAGTTGTAGTACCAGATATCAAATCAGGACCTGATTTATAAAAGAAGTAAACGATTAGCTTTGATGTTCATAGATTTTATTGATAAAACCTTTCTTTCAAGAAAGATCAAACTTTATTGCCTCTCCAATCAATTTTGGAATAACGGTCAAATATACAAAGAGTCTGCGAAAATAGTATACATGTATAAATTAACTCTAGCTAGATGACTTGGTCCTGTTTAACCATTCATATTTGTCTAGAAAATTCATAAGTGTGAGTTTAATCAAGTTATTTCCAATTTTAACAAACATAATAAGATTTAAAATTTATTAACAACTAATTGTTCTGGTTTTTAGTCTTGTTGGAAACTATATTAGTTCAATGATATTTTTTATTTGATTTGGTGTTTTTCTACTCACCTGGATAAAAACAAGTTTTTTAATAGAATTGTTATAAATAAACAAATATGATTTCTAAGCAAAAATGTTCCGAAACTTACGTATTGACTCCTCATATGGAAAACAAAGTGTAGACGCAAATTAATTACGTAATACTTTAATAGCAAAAACAACTCATTTACGCAATACACAAATTCTCAGCCTTGATATTTTATATAAATAAGGTGTTTTTAGTACCTTTCCCCATCTAGTTAAACAAGCCTTTGCTTGCAACTAAAACATTATTTGAAAAAGGCTTGATTGGAAAACTTTAATATGTTTTATGTTTACGTGTTGGAGTGTGCTGATAACAAGTATTATGTTGGTGAAACTATGGATATCGATAGGAGATGGGAAATGCATAAGAGTGGAAGGGGCTCAGGGTGGACAAGGATATATGAACCAATCAGGATTAAATGGTATGGCCGTACCAATAATAGATATTTAGAGTTTGCAAAAACTCTTGAATATATGGAAACATATGGTATTGATAATGTAAGAGGTGGTCCTTACTGTAGTATATTTTTGGGAGAATGGATTATGGGGTTTATTTACAATAGATTATCTGATACATGTTTTGACTGTGGTAGGAGAATTAGGAATGGTCATTATAATGGCTGTCCAAATTGTCATAATTGTGGCCGCAGACATTATGGTTGTTGTTGTTACCTATGCGGTAAACCTGGTCATTTGAGCGGTGAATGTCGTAATTGTTCTAGATGCGGTGGAAATGATCATTTTATTGATGAGTGTAATCAATGTTACAAATGTCGTAGTCGCAATCATTTTGGTAATCGATGTGGAAGTTGTTTAAATTGTGGTGGATACGGTCATCAAACTAATAATTGTTATTTACCTTATTCCTAATGTCAACGCAGAGTATGTAATAATGCATTCTTTTAATTTTTAAATTCAGAACAATTAATATACATATTTGGTCCAATATTAATTACGCTATGCGTCTTTTTTTCCTATATAATCTTTTATTCGTATAACGATAATAACGAACTGAATCGATCACATCAATCTTACTACTCTGCAGCTGGATGAATGATGGTATTTTCAATTGGATCAAAAATAATATTCATAGTTATGAAGGAAAACGCGTCAACGTTTTATCATTATCACTGATCATGAGTGAGCGAGTGTGTAGAAAACAGAATCTCATTAACAATATCAAAATAATGTAATTTAATCTACTACACAAATAAAATTTAATATTAAATTACCATATGATTAATGATTTTAAATTTAAGAGCCTATTAAAACATTATGGATGATTTGATAAATAAATAAATAAATAATTGATTTTATGCAAATTCGCCGTATATTAAAAAATCTATTTTTTAATACGGAAAAGCCCAAAAGGACACTTTTATCATATTGAAAATAATAAAAATAATAGGTTGCTGGTCGAAGAATGATCCGGATCTAATCTTCTCTTCTAATAAAAAAATCACGGGCTAGAATTAGGCAAATAAATGACATAATAAGGTAAAAGAGAGTAATATAGGACACTACTGCCGTAGGTGGATCGTATTCTTTTGAATATGTTTAAAAATAGAGTTTAGTTGTATCGTTTTCAGCAATAAATTCAGAAACAATTCACAATACAAATCGAATGAAACAAGAGATTAAAGAAGAAATAAACAGCTATAAAGCAAGAATAGCCAACAAAGATCATTTTTAATGAAAAATATTGTCTCCATGAGTGATTTTACTTAAAAATAAGACATGTTTTCTACGAACAGGCACTTTAATTATTGTAAAAATACAACATCAGGAAAATAAATCTCACGTAAACCTACGCAGGATTTAAAACTGACCAGCATTATGCGGAAATGTTAACAGAATTACCAAAATATCGACATAATACTGGCCAATTCTGAACCCTATGTAGGTTTACGTAAGATTTATTTTCCTGATGAAGTTGCTATTTTATTTATTTATTTTATTATCCTAAAATGATATTCTTTAAATATAAAAAAATACATATTGGATATTGCGAGGACGAAAACCGTTAGGTCACAAGGAATCAATAAGATTGGCCGAACTTTCTACATTTTAATTCTTTTTGATTAAGTGAAAAAACACCAGGTTAAGTAATTAATATTTCAAAACCTTGCTAATAAGTAAAGACAGAAATATTTATTTCTTGTCATTAATTTAATTCACTTGTAAAAATTATTTCACACATAATAATAAATAAATATAAATAAATTCTTTTGTTTTGCTTATAAAAACACTTTTTAAATTAAACAGTAGGGTTTAATTGTCCATTTGGTTATCAGAGTGGTATAGAACTCTGAGGTTTGGTTTATTTGCTTTGGTATAAAGTCAAGTCTTTGACATCGGTTAACCAGTGTAGTGTTAACAACGGTTGTATAGAAAAATCTTCAGTTTCTTTGATTTCAAATGGCGTCTATTCTGTACGAGTCACTCCAGTTATAATGACACATAATTTTTTTATAATTATAGAATTTATTCCGTTATAATGATACTCGTTATAACAACATGTCAGTATAATGGGAGAACCAACAATCAAAATTATTCTGAAAAAAAACTTATGCCGGGATAAATTCTGGAAACGCTTCCATATAATGCTGGTTAATTTTACCCCGACATAAGTTGATATAGTTGGCTTGGTCTAAAGACCTCCTAAATTTTGTGCAAATTTTAAAAGTATAAAAGTCATTTTCTGTCCTGCCTTTAAAAAAACAACCTTACTATGTTCGTTCACAAGGAATTTGGCGCTATGATTATTTCTAAATTTAGACTAGTTTTCGGACATCATATCTAAATTTGGCAACAAGAAAAATAATTTTAAACCAAGACCTTCTTTGAAAATTTTTAAGTTTTTGAACGAATCACGGAATCGATATTTTTGAAATTTGAGCGAGTGGCGCAGAAATAGGGTTTCTTTAGATATATAGTATAAATAAAAAAAATTATAAAATCACATGATAATGATTCTCACATGACTTTTATATGAACTCCCATTATAACGAAAATCTCGTTATACTGACATTTTTTGCTTGCACGGAGAGTGTCATTATAGCAGGAGTGACTTGTATTATGATATTTCCAATTAGTTTAGTCACCCGCAATTAATTTTCGTAATTACGTTTTTAAAGGAGGAAAGTGGTAATTAATATTAATTACGATAATTACATATTACGTATTTACGAAAAATTAGGCAATTACCATCCCATGTATAATCTCATCTTATGTTTCATTGGACACCTCTCGAGTTTGTAATAGAAATTACATGCTCGAAATATAAAATTTTTTGGAAATTACCAATCCAAAGTTTGCAGATGATTTTTATATGGTGCAGGAAGTCTATAGCCACCATTTACTGCGTCAACGGCCAAGTGGTTGATAGTAATCACGTGAATTTATTTAAAATTCGATATTGAAAGGTTACACTAAAATTTTGGCTGGATTTAAAAAATGATCTGCAATTTTATTTTAATCCTGGTAGAAGTAAAAATATGTTTATAAAAATTAATAGAACTCAACAACCAATCAATATTTTGAAAAAATCGGGATGCTGGAAAAGGACGGGGACGGGCAGGTGTGGCTTGAATTCGACCCCCGTCCTTTTCACGTTTGGCCATTTAATACTAGAAAAGGACGGGCAATGGTACGGGTGTTTTTCAAATAATTAAAAAAGGACGGGCAATTATGAGGGACGGGCATGGCGCGGGTCAAGGCACAGCAACCCGTCCCCCGCCCTTTTCTATTATTCATTGGGGAAATCTTGAAAAGGACAGGTGAAAAAGGGATGGGTTGCTGCGTCATTACTGCCCGTCCCATGTCCTTTTATATTATTTATGGGCAAATCTTGAAAAGGACAGGCAAACAAAGGACGGGTTACTGTGCCATTACCACTTTGTCCCGCTGTTTTTTTTATTATTAATGGGCAAACACAGGTGAAAGCTGTTTGTCATAAATATAATATCCCATATCCATTTATTCCTTATTTAAAATCTTGATTTTTATTTTTATTTATAATCTTTTGGTTTGAGACAAAATTGTATAAAATAAAATCATTGAAAATATAGATTCAGATATTGATTGTTGCCACCACTATAAATAGAAGAGGAATAATTTTTTTAATACAAAGCTTTAATTGTTAATTTTAATACTAATAAAAAATGAATGCCACATTTTTTTAATTAATGAATGCAAGATCATAAATAATGTATGCCACGTTTATTTAATAATAAATGCATTGTTATTTGGTACTAATCAAGATTGTCAAATAATGAATGCCAATGCCACATTTATTAATAATGGATTTATTACTGAATTTATGGCTAGTTCATTTTAATATATTATAGAACAAATTTGAATTGGCAATTTTGTTTAGTGTCAAAAAACATGAAAATCTAGATTCAGATGTTGATTGTTGCCACCACTATAAATAACCTTTTTAATACAAAACTTTAAATTTAATACTAATCAAAATGAATGCCACGTTTTTTTAATAATAAATGCATTGTTATTGGTACTAATAAAGATTGTCAAATAATGAATGCCAATGCCACATTTATTTGGTAATAGATTTATTATATTTTTGGCACATATCAATTTATTTTTTATTACTAATATTAATACGAATTTATGGCTAGTGCATAATAATATAATATTTTCCAATTATGCCTTGTACAATTTGAAATGATTTATTTTCTTATTTATTATACAATATTGTAAGTATTATTAATGCCCGTCCTTTTTAAGAAAACATTAGGGACGAGCAGTAATGGCACAGTAACCCATCCCTTTTTCACCTGTCCTTTTCAAGATTTCCCCAATGAATAATAGAAAAGGGCGGGGGACGGGTTGCTGTGCCTTGACCCGCGCCATGCCCGTCCCTCATAATTGCCCGTCCTTTTTTAATTATTTGAAAAACACCCGTACCATTGCCCGTCCTTTTCTAGTATTAAAGGGCCAAACGTGAAAAGGACGGGGGACGGGTTCAAGTCACACCTGCCCGTCCCCCGTCCTTTTCACGTGTCCCGAAAAAATCACTCTGTCACAAAGAAATTTAGGTTCTGTCCTATACAATCACAGTTATTTTTTAAAAAGATCACACAATAACCAACTTCTATTCATTCAAAAATCATGTGCAAAAATAGTGGCTATAGACTTCCTGCACCATAGGAAAATACATAATTATATTTGAATATCATCAAAAGTTACAATAAAATGTTTATTAAGTTCTCTTGAGAAATTAATTTTAATCTCAAGTTTGTATATTTAGCCAATCAAAGCCTAGAATTTTATTATAAAAATAAAATTGTCTGGTTTGAATTAATTGAATTAAGATAGTAATAGAAAACAATTATTTTTTTAAATCTTTAATCTCAGCCAATAATTTTTGCAACATCTGTTCATTATTATGATTTAATTTGCTTTCAATTTCCTTGAGGAGATCATTCTTAAGATTTTCATGATTCATTTTAATTTCCTGTTCATTATTATGATTTGATTTGTTTTCAATTTCTTTGATTTCATTAATTTCACGTTTTATAATATTTCTAACTTTATCGTCGTCACCACCATTCTTAATAGTAACATCAATCAAAATAACTTTTGCATCAGGCGAATAATGCCTATATTTCATACCAGGTGTTGTAGGCTTCATTTCTAAATTTTCATCTATAAAATCTTTTTTATAAACTTTTAAATGTTCTAAACCTGGTACTCTGACTAATTGTTCAAAGGGTATACCTCCAGGTCTTAGAATAACCGGGTATTTAGTAGTGGTTTCATCCTCTTTTTCATAAATTTTATCAGTGATCAGTTTTGTAATGTCTAAAACTGTTGATTCTAAACCAAAATCACATTGTCCACCATCAATTATCAAAGGAATCCTATTATTCAAATCATTATAAACATGATTAGCTAATGTAGGCGAAGGTTTACCTGATGAATTAGCTGATGGTGCTGCTAAAGGAAATCCACATAATGTAATTAATGCCCTAGCTATATTATTTGATGGAAATCTTATTGCTACTTTATCTTGGCCGCATGTTATTTCATCAGGTATCTTATCAGTTTTTGGAAATAATAAAGTTAAAGGACCTGGCCAAAATTTTTTCATTAAAACATCATATAATGGTGACAGTGTAAATGAATCGGTGGTAATAGTACTTGTGGTGGTGGCATTATTAGTGTTGCTGGTGCTAGTAGGTGACAATAAATCGTACAACATTTTTAATGACGAAATATGTATAATAAGTGGATTATCTAATGGTCGGTTTTTCGCTTGAAATATTTTTTTGATTGAAATGGGTGAAAGTGCATTTGAAGCAAGACCATATACAGTTTCGGTTGGTATTGCTACGACTTCATTTAAACAAAGTAAATCTTTTGCTTCATTCAGTATTTTTATAGTTTCTGGGTTCGTGCATATAAATTTTGGATCTTTGATATCTTTATCCTCCACAAAAACAATTGTAGAAGGATCTATATTTTCTATTTTTGTTTGGATGTTTCTTGTCTGTAAACTGTTTTTATGCATAATAATAATTTTGAGATTTCTTAAAAAAGAAAGCATCTCTAAAAAAAATGTTCATTGTGTTACAAATAAACAAAAAATAATTAGTGTAACATAAGAAAACGTACAGTCATACCTCGTTTATATTCAGGGCGCAAAATGTATATATATCAAGGCAAAATTGATTAGAAACTAATGTGATTACATTCTTGTGGCGACCAATCGGATTTTATGAGGCTCAAACTGCTGACCATTAAAAAGATTTTTTTAACAAGAGCCAAAATTTACTCTTTGTATAATAGAACATTCTGCCTTGACTGCTTCAACTTTGCCATCTTTTCTCAATCATTAAATTCCAATTTATCTGGGAAAGTTCTCTTTTTGTAAAAGGATCAATATTTTTGTTTGGTTCATTACCAAAGATTCATTCAACAGCTTCAAACATATTTAGAATAATGCCATTCTACCAACCAGAATAAATTCATACACTTGCATCTTACAAGGTTCAATTGTATGACAAATATAACTCTTAATCATTTGCTCATGTCAATTTAATATTAATTAATATATTAATATCACTGTTTTCAGCTGT